AGGGAGAGATTGAGGATGGAAGGATGAAAGTGGGAGGTGAGAGAGTCAGAAGGGGGGGATGAAGAGGAAGAGAGAGAGATGTCATGAAGAAGTGTTGAAGAGGAGCACAGAAACAGTTGAAGAGAGAAAGAGACACTCCACATTTAAGCTAAGTAATTGAGGCAGTGTGCGGCTACCAAATGCTCCATGTCGATCTAAACCCCTTTGAAATCCTTGAAAAGTGTCTGTGTGTAAGAAAGAGAGAGAGGGGGGAATATAAGATGGAGGGAGGCGGACTTTGAGTGTGTTTGAGCGTGTGTGTCAGTGCTGAAAGTGATGGGGTGGTGTGTTTTATGGGTATATTGAAGGGTCTGTTGAAAGAAGAGTGATGAACCCCTCTTACAGTGTGCGTGGAAGTGTGGAAGTATACTGACGACAAAAGAGAGTTGAGAGTGCACAAAACTAATTTGAGCACTACTCAGTCTGTCAACATTTGTGCGCGCACATGCCGCAGAATTCGATATGTACGCGAGGGAGGACAGGATTGTAACAGGTGATCTGTGCTGCAAGAGGAACTAACTACATTTGAGCCAGCAGCAAGGATTCCCACGCTCGTAACGACCTGTTAGACTCTACCTTCTACTTTCAAAGTAAATGTGGTGTTTTATTTCGTCTTAAAAATCAAAACATGACGCTAAATGACTGAAATCACATTTTATTTGTTTGCAAATAAAGTAGTTTTTCAGCCATTATGGAGTATTATTGACTGTGGCTACATTCAGAGCAACAGCATTTTTCTGTAAGTGGGGGGGGGGGGAGCAAATCCAACGTACTGGTATGTGAATAAACCAGGGGATGGTAAGAGGATCAGATGGATCGCCAGAATGTGGCTGAACTTCAATCTACAGTGCAGATCCACACACACACAATAATTGAAATTGCATGCTAAATGCTAATGCGTAGAGGCATAAAATATGTAAATCAAATGTCTCCCTCAATATTCCATATGGTTGCCAACTGCTCCTTACAGAGAAGCTGACTTTTCCTTGTGTGGAATGTGAAAAAGACGTGACCTTGACGTCCACATGTGGGTTTGTGCTGTTGCAGCTTGCAGCTTGCGAGTCAACAATGATTGGCAAGCAACCTTTTGCGATCTCAAGTGCTCAGAAGCTGCCAAAACAGCTGGAGAAATGTGAGAGCAGACACAGAAACCAGTGCGCGCTCAAATGTGATTCTGCTTTTACAAATCTGCGCCTGTGTGCTCTCAAAGGTTGACGTGCAGACTGAGTAGCTCTCTGAATTTGTTTTTCGCTCTCTCACTTCCATATATAACCGTGAGTGTGTGCGTCAGTTTCTGTGTGTGTGTGTGTGCTCCCTCTCCCTTCAGTATCAGTCTCTTCTGCTCGACTTCCGTGCTCTCCTCTGCATCTTGTCTGGTCACTATGCCGTGAAATGGTTTTTCACTAGACCATTACCCCAACCAGTGCGCTGCACTACTGCCACAGCCCTCTGTGAGCGAGAGGGAGTGTGTTTAAATGTGTGTGTGTGTGTGCCTGGAGAGAGAGTGGGGGGGGGTGTGTGTTTGGCTGCGTGCATGAAAGAGACTAATGTGTGTATGTACAGTAGCTGCACTTGTAAGAGAAAGATTGTGCTTTTTTTTGTTTATGTGGTGGGGAAGATGGATTGTTTGCATGTAGCGGTACGTACGTATGTGTGTGTGTGTGTGTGTGTGTGTGTGTGTGTGTGTGTGTGTGTGTGTGTGTGTGTGTGTGTG